CAGTTTCCCGTAGAACAAATAATGCCAGAACTTCACGCCAGGGAAGGGGAGGGAGAGGTCCCTCCATCCGGTGGCATCCGAGCTGAGACCTGAAGACCTCAGTGAAGTGGGGTGTGGGCAGTGAGAGCTGGGAGGTTAGGAGGAAACCAAGGGACAGAGGAGCAGCCAAGGGCCCTCGTACTAACAGTGACGCTTTCGAGTCCAGGGCGATATCTGCACCACTTGGGTTCGTGGAGTCCTGTAAAGAGGTCCACGTGCTTCATTCAGCTCACCTGTTTGCTTGCCAGTGGTTACTGAGCATCTGTTCTGCACCAGGACTCGCGGTGGGTACAAGGCATACAGTTTAGGGCACAGGTCCGCCAGGGGAGGCCCTTCCAAGGCATCCCGGAGGCAGTGACCAAAAAGACAAGACATCATCGGGAGGTCAGGGGGAAGATATGTTCCAGGATAAGAGAACAACCCATACAAAGGCTCTGAGGCAGGAACGGGCTAGGCATATTCAAGGCCCACAAAAGCCCATGTGGGGTGAGCGAAGCCGATGGTGCAGGGCCTTCTGTACAGGGTATGGTGCTTGGTTTCACGTACGGGCAGTGGGAAACCAGTGGAGCAGCACCACCCGATAGAACATTCTGCAGCAATGGAGATGTTCTCCGTGTGTGCTGTCCAGTATGGTGGCGACGGCACTTGTGTGGCTATTGGACACTTGCAGTATGACTGGTGTGACCGAGGAGCCGAATTTTGCCTTTCATTCATTTCTCCTTAGCTTAAATAGACGCACGTGGCCAGTGGCTCCCATACCGGACAGTGCAGCCGTGGATACTCCTGCGGAAGGCAGGGATGCGGGCCAGGCCTGGAATGGAGCAAGGTCCTGGGGGTGATGGGCTTGGTCACTAGAGCTGGGCAGGTGATCCAACAGCTGACGCGGTTGCCCCTGGCGTTCACAGCGGATGTCCCGAGGCATGAGCCCCCAGCCACGTGGCTGGGCCCAGTAGCACATCGTGGGACGGGAGTGTGCGCCCACACATGGTTTGGCCCTGCGGTGACCGGAGCAGCCTGGACCACCACCATGATGAAGTTGTTGGTGGCCAAAGTCCTCTGCATGGTGGGCGTGTTCTTCTTCATGCTGCTTGGCTCCCTGCTCCCGGTGAAGATCATCGAGACGGATTTTGAGAAAGCCAATCGCTCAAAAAAGATCCTCTCGCTCTGCAACACCTTTGGAGGCGGGGTCTTTCTGGCCACGTGCTTCAATGCCCTCCTGCCCGCCGTGAGGGAAAAGGTAAGGGGTCCCCGGGGGTAGGCGCCGCCCTTGGCACCTTATGGCCAAGGGTCACTGACGTTTTTTCACTAAAGCCACCAAGCTGGGTGGAGCCTTGACACTGTAAGAGTGACAGGAAATGGATTTGCTGTGTGACCGCGCATTGCTTGCTTCTCTTCTCTGGGCCTTGTCTGGTAAACAGGGGGTTTGAACTAGACACAGGGTTCCCCGCTGGCGAGCTCACCCGTTGCTACCTGAGCAGACTGCCCACCATGGCTACCATACACTTTGTCCTGAAGCTGGCAGTTTGGGCCTCTCTTCAACACCTGTATCGGTTAGCTGCTGCCGCCTAACAAGTCACAACAGACTTAGCATCTTAACCGGATACGTGTTTATTATCACAATTTTTGTGGGGCTGGAGTCTGGACACCACGTAGCTGGGTCCCCTGCTCCGGGCTCTCTCAGACAGCGTTCCTGGTATCCGTGGGCTGTGTTCTCACCTCAGGGTTTGAGGAGACGGGTCGGTTTCTGAGTTCATGTGGTGGTAAGGCAAGTTCAGCCCTTCCCGGTTGTCAGACCCAGGGGCCTACTTTCTCCCCGGCTGCTGGCGGAGGATGGCCCTCAGGCCCTGGCCACGTGGGCCTCCCCAACACTGCCGCATGTTTCATCAGCAGGCCACAGCCGGTGCCTGCCTCTTGGGCGTCCAGAGCCGTGAGTTGACACGTTTCTGTGGCCTTCCGCTGCTAACCTCGTGCTCCTTTGTTCACAGTGTGGGAGACTCACACAGTCAGCGTCCAGGGGGGATAAAATCTCAGAGTCCTCAGGCCCAGACTGCTGTGATGGTGCATGTGGCCCTTCCATGGTCCTCCCAGAGCCACTGCATGCCGCATGCCTGCCCGCACCTGAGCCTTGGCGGGCCAGGTCCCTCCCCTGCGGCCCCTGGCCAGCCTCAGCTGGCACGGTCACCCTGCAGAGAGCAGTGCTGCACACTGTGGCTTTTGCGTCTGCCTTGTCTTCCTCGATCTGATCTGATCCGTGTTCATCCCTGGGGTGGGGGGTTAGTGCTCCCCACGTGCTGGTGTCTCCCCAGGTGTAGCACACGCAGGCCTCTGTGAGATGTTTGGCAAATGAATGAAGCGGCTTCTCTACAAAACACGGCCTCTGCGGCAGCGGGGGTTCCCCTGTGGGGGACGACTCTCCCGCCAGGAGACACTGAGTGATGGCAGGTCACTGGGTCAGGGGGTCTCACCTGGGCGTCCTACCCCCAGGGTTACTGGATGATGTCTGGAGACATCTGAGGTCATCACGACTGGCGGAGCTCCTGGCATCAGGTGGGTGGGGCCAGGGATGCTGTTCAACACCCTCTCCCACCTCCCTCTGGTGCCCAGAACGGCCCCCGGACAGAGAATGACCTGGCCCCAATGCCAGCACTACCCGTCACAAGTCGTGACGACCAAAATGTCCTCAGACTTTGCAGGTGTGCCCTGGGGCAGGATAGCCCCCAGTGTGTGTGTGTGTGTGTGTGTGTGTGTGTGTGTGTGTGTGTGTCTGTGTGTGTCTGTGTGTGTTCCCGGGCTGTCACGAAGGCTGTGACAGAAAAGAAAGGGGTGCCACGAGCATAGTTTGGAGCGCCTGGCTCAGGTGGAGCCCTCGGGAATTGCGTGTGCACGTGAGCATTGTGCAGCCGTGAGTGAAAGTGGAGGGGGAGCGGTCCAGACGGCCGACAGCTCACCCTGCAGCCCCCAGGCCGGACCAGCGTGGAGTGCACACACACACCCTCATGAGCAGGGGCCACCCGACCCAGCTGTGAGGAGTGGCAGCCTGTTTGTAGGCCTGTCTAGTCACGTTTCAGTGACTTAAAATGAAACACGGTTCAACATGCCCGTCCTTGGCCGCACCAGCCACGCCTAAGGTCCACATGGGCCACGCGCGGCTAGTGACTTCCGTATCGGTATCAGCACAGACAGAAAGCCTTTCTGTCACTGGAAAGCTCTACTGGACGGGGCCAGCTCGAGGCATCTGCGGGGGTGCAGGTGGATGTCTGAGGAGTCTCCCTCGTTCCCAGCTTGTCCACCCAGGAGGTCGGGGTGCCTTGTGCAAGCAAACCCCACGCAGGCCCCAGGGCTGCAAAGGCCAGTTGCTGTGACCGTGATGGAGGCCAGAAGGCTGAGATCACCGTGTCAGCAGGGCTGGGTCCTTCTGAGACCGTGAGGGAGAATCTGTCCTGTGCCCTTTCCCTGCTTCTGGAGGTTTGTTGGCAATCCTTGGCATTCCTTGACTTGTAGGTACATCACCCCAGTCTCATGCCCGTCTCCCCGTGTCTCTGTGTGTCCTTTCCTTTTGTGTCTCATAAGGACACTGTTGCTGGACTTAGAGCCCGCCCTGATTTAGGATGATCTCGTCTCAAGATCCTGATGCGTGAGTTTCCTGGGGCTGCTGTAGCCGTGTGCCACAGCTCAAACCATGAGCATTTACTCTTGGTCAGTGGGGAGGCTGGAAGTCCTAGACCAAGATGCCGGCAGGCCTGGGTCCCTCGCAGGCCTCTCTCCTTCCTGCCTCTTCATGTGGTGGTCCCGTGTCTTTCCTGTTCCTGTAAGGACTCCAGTCCTGTCGGCTCAGGGCCCACCCTAACAGCCTCACTGTCACTGAATCGCCTCTCTCCAAGTAGGGTTAGTTTGGAGATTCTGCGGGCTGGGAACCTTTAAGATATGAATCTCTCCACCGGGAGCACCTTAATTACATCTGCAAAGACCCTTCTTCCAGAGAAGGTCACGTTCTGAGGTTCCACGTGCACGTATCTTTAGGGACCACGGTTCAGCCCACGGCAGCACAATTAACGTTATTGGGCCGATTTAGTAGATGTCACGTAAAGCCTCACAACCCCCTTTGTAATAGGGTTATTTTTATGTTGTTGTTGCTGTTTTTTCCAAATCCACCAAAGGGTGAGTCCACCTTCCCCCGTTTTTAGCCTCTTGTGTGAACGGGGGGCTTCTGTGCTTTGCTAGCTGATCAGTGAGATCTGGAAACCCTGTTGTGTTGGTGGCGAGTGTCCAGGCCTCCCGCCTCTGAACCCCTCTCCCCCTTCTCCTCCCTCACACATCCTCCGCTCCAGCTCCAGAAGGTTCTGAGTCTTGGGCACATCAGCACCGACTACCCGCTGGCCGAGACCATCGTGATGCTGGGCTTCTTCATGACCGTCTTCCTGGAGCAGCTCATCCTGACGTTCCGCAAGGAGAAGCCGTCCTTCATCGATCTGGAGACCTTCAACGCCGGCTCGGACGCTGGCAGCGACTCGGAGTACGAGAGCCCCTTCATGGGGGGCACGCGGGGCCATGCACTCTACGCGGAGCCCCACCCCCACGCACACGGGCTCAGCGTCCAGGAGCTGTCGCGCTCCAGCCCGCTGAGGCTCCTCAGCCTGGTGTTTGCCCTGTCGGCGCACTCCATCTTCGAGGGCCTGGCCCTGGGCCTGCAGGAGGATGGCGAGAAGGTGGTGAGCCTGTTCGTGGGGGTGGCCGTCCACGAGACGCTGGTGGCTGTGGCCCTGGGCATCAGCATGGCCAGGTGCTCCATGGCCCTGAGGGACGCGGCCAAGCTGGCCGTCACCGTGAGCGCCATGATTCCCCTGGGCATCGGCATCGGCCTGGGCATAGAGAGCGCACAGGGTGTGCCCAGTAGCGTGGCCTCGGTGCTGCTGCAGGGCCTGGCGGGCGGCACGTTCCTCTTCGTCACCTTCTTTGAGATCCTGGCGAAGGAGCTGGAGGAGAATAGTGACCGTCTGCTCAAAGTCCTCTTCCTGGTGCTGGGTTACGCTGTCCTGGCCGGCATGGTCTTCCTCAAGTGGTGAACTGCCCACCGCCCGCCCGCCGGACACAGGCGGTCCCCCAGCCCCCCCGTCCCCCAGGCGGGGGCGCTCAGGCCCCGGGCTTCCGCCTGTGCATGGAGGGGCTGCGCCCCAGATCCTATGCCCCGAGCCCGAGGCACCGCGACCACTTTTAAAAATACTGCTCTTATAATTACTTACCAAAGCTGTGTGGCCATGTCGTCCTCTGGCATCGGGATCTGAGGACTCGCACAGGCGCTGGGGCCCGGGCACCCAGAGGGGGTCGGGCTGGGACCCTCCCCTCCCCCGCACACTCCCACCTGTGTACAGGACAGGAATATGGCCTATCTGAGCCGCTGAGCCCAGTCGGAGGCTTGAGACTTGCGTCCTCTGCTCCCAGCTGGCTCTGTTCCTAACAGAGGAGCCCGCCAGCCTGGAGCGTCTGACCTGGGATCACAGGGCAGCTCTAACTCCTGCCACCTGACGCCGTGCCTCCTGGGAGACGGGCAGGGTCCTGGGCACCTCAGGACTCCCCTCCTCCCTGCCTTCCTGCGTGCCCCCTCCCACACACCCTTGGTGGGCCAGGTGAGCGTGTGGGTTCTTTAAGGGAACAGAGGCCCATGGACCCGAGAGATGCGCAGGTGGGGCCGGGGGCCAGCGTGGTTGGTTGGTTGTCAGTCCTGTCCCCGGAGTGAGACAGACTTCCGTGGGCTATGGGGGCAGGGCCACACGCCATTCACCTTGCCCGACGCACAGACACATGAAGCCAGCACCTGCCTCGGGTGAGTGTGGGGCTGGTGCCAACCCTGGGCGTCGGCTCCGTGGCAACCTGTTGTCTCAGAAGCCCAGAGCCGTGCCTCTGGGAACGGAGTCAGGGGTGACAGCCTTTCCCAGCGGATTCCACGTGTCTGGCTTGAAGCCACCAGAGGTGCTACAGGAGGGAGGGCGGGCCCGTGGCCAGGCCGGGTGCTGGTGGCCTCAGCCTCGCAAGCTCCGTTACGGGCACTCGGGCCTCCTCACTTGGCCGCTCAGCTGCAGGCACGCGGGCCCTGGAGCGCGCCTTCCCAGGACCCTGGATCTCCACCCTGCG